TAAATAAAACTAAAACTTAATAAAAGACCTATACAGACTTACACATAGTAAGAAATGGTTATAAAAACTGAAACAGAAGTGAAACAAGTAGTAGGAAAGAGGAGAAATAAAAAGCGATACTTATCCTTTGCCGGTGTCCCTGCCCGGTGGAGTCGCACGGTAGAGCTTTTTTATACCCGTTTAACAAAATACTAAATTAATTCAGCTGGACACTCTTTCCTTATTTTTAATTAAAAAATTGAATTTAAAAGTCCGTAAAAGTGATATTGATTTTGAGCCTCTTTGAGATGGCACAATAATGCGCCGTTCACTTGCAGAACGCAGGCTTCTAGAGGGCACATAACTCTGAAGTAATGAAGGTAAATGGGTGCAGAGCCAGTGGTGGTTTTGTAGGCAAACATTAATGCCTTGAATTTAATGCGAGCAGCTACTGGTAGCCAGTGCATATTGATGAACAGTGGTGTGACGTGCATTCTTTTCGGCTCATTTAAAATTAATCTTGCTGCCGCGTTCTGGATTAATTGTAAAGGTTTGATAGAACTGGCTGGAAGACCAAGAGAGCATTGCAACAGTCCAGCTTGGACAGAACAAGAGCTTGAACAAGGAGTTGTGAAGCATGTTCTGAAAGAAAGGGCCTGATTTTCTTGATGTTGAATAAGTACAATAAGTACTATTATCTAATTGAGAAGTACTAGTATCTATTTAATAGGTACTAATATCTAATGAATGAGTACCAGTATTTGAACTAGTATCTAATGAATAAGTACTAGTACCTAAAGAATAAGCACTACTAAAGAATATGCACTAGCAGCCAATGAATACGTAGGCTACCTAATGGAATAGATGATAGTATCATAAAAACTAAGTATGAGTAGCATGAAAATAGATGGGTTACTAGTACGTTTTAAGGATTAAATATTAAAATATCTTACCATATATTAAAATGAATACTTAACTTTAATTAAAAAACAAACCTACATTATAAAACTGAGTTCAGTTAAAAATCATTCAAAGCCATCTAGCGAACCTGAATTTTGAAATTTTCTGAAACCAAAGTTCAAAATAGTATGACAAAATAGGCAACACGTGACATTCTACTCACTGTCCACATCCTCAGGAATTATACTTTTTGTTTTGTTTTGTCCAAATGTATTTATTTTCCATTTTCAAAATGTACTTAATTTTCAATACATTTTAATTTTATATTTCTTATTTATTTTAATCAACGTTTTAATTAAATTTTTATATAGGCCTACCTCTTTTTAAAACACTGACTAGATCAGGTGGTAAGTTCTTTTTTTTGTATATTGCAAAAAGCAAACAGCAATGCATTTAGATAATTTAACTTTTGACATTAAAAAATAGTCTCATTTGCTGAAATCATAACCTTAGCGCAGTGTTTTACAAATGTATTAACCAAGAGTAATATATGAATTGTGAGAAACATGGAGCAAGATAACCCAATATAATCCAACCCTGCATGTATGTGACACTGTACAAAGATACCGGATCTTTGAATTGTCCCAAAGATATTTGATCTTTGAACTGTCAAAGACCATTGCTCTGTTCTTCAGCAAGATAAATTACAAATAGTAATAATAATAACAACAACAAACACTTAGTGACATCAATAGTTTTTTTTTTTTTACCTCTGTAATATTTTTGTTTCATTTTCCTGTGGCAGGCACCCATCAAAAGTCATTTTTAAATATTTCCACAAAAGTTTCCACAGAGATGTCTATATAGGGAACATATTTCAACACGCTGGAAATAAGAGGACCTTGAGACAGTGGCAAGGCTGCATTTTGCACTGGAGAGCAATGCAACTGATGCTCCAAAGGTCACAAACATATTGAATGAAAAATTTAAAGCAGAAGTCTTCATTTCCTTTCTTTTTAATCTCATTACTGTCTAGGAGAAACAGTTAGTGCTCTCTTCTATATTTCTTTCCTGTGAGTTCTGTTGTTGTTGTTTTTTACCATCAAGATTTATTTGTGAGACATTGCGAAGACTAAACCACATTGTCACATTATCTTCCATTTGAATGGCTTTGCATGTATATTTTTGCAGGGTTGCGTGGGTAGAGATAGTGGTCCAGGACAAGGTCAGATGTTTTGTGGTGTACTTGCACATTGCCCTGACAAACACACTATCAACCATTACCAGACTATCTAACAAACAGAAAAAGGCTAACAAATCAGGGTGAAAGTCCCCTTGAGCACTGTATTAAAACATCTCCGTCAAAGCAGGCAATCTCACTGATGCAGCCATGCTTATGAGCACATTATGGGGTGCTGTGAGCTCACTAATGGGCCTGTTTTACTCTGGGATCCAGGTCATGGTGCCATGTCTTCCTCCAGCTCCTCTCTCCACTGCTGTTATTAGTACTGATGAGGTAAGAAGCTTGAAAAGCCTTTATTCCTAAGCCTTTAGATCTTATTTGTGTGTGTATTTATTCCAATATTTACTTTAAAAATTCTTCCTGTGCAGTATATGGGCACCTGGTATTTTGTGGCAGCAGCTGCATGGGATGAAGATGATCTTAAGTCCTTCAAGATCACCGACAGCTCTATTCTTCACATTCAGAAAGGTGCTAATGACACCCTGACAGTGACTGAAAATGCTCGCGTGTGAGTGGAAAACTGCACACACACACACTTGTTTATACTACTTTGTGGGGTCCTAATGTCCCCACAAAGATAGTAAAAACAGAAATATACAATAAATATAGATAGTAAAATCAGAAATATACTGCTTTGTTGGACCCACAAAGACAACCTCTTATAAATGATAATAAAGAATGTTTTATAGAATGTTAAAAGTCACTATAGTATGGTCCTAATCTACACTAAACCTAAACCTACCATATATACATACATACATACAAATGTTAAAACAATAACAATCTATAAGTACATTAAAACAATCTTGTCTGATTTAAGGACCCCACAAAGTCAAACTTTCCTTATTTTACTGTCTTTGTGTGGTCAAGTGCACACACACACTGACATTTGACTGTTCTATTATTTACTATATAAAATCTTTTTGTTTATCACAGTGGAGATCAGTGTCAGAAAAATACTTGGAGCTACTTTGCTTTGTCTGTGTCAGGCCCTTTCCTGTTTAGAACCGGTAGGAACTGATATACAATCTGATCAGTCTGAAACAGTAATTCAGCACTGACTATCCATGTTTTACACTATATAATGAGTTGATATCAAGCAATATTATTCCATGAGATCCATTAATAATCTTTATCATTATTTTTTTTAGTTGTTATTATTTAAAAAAATAAATGATTTCTTGTGATTTCATTTCCTTTTTAAAATGTATCGTGTAAGCAGATTATGATGCTGTTGCGCTGATCTGGGATGGCAAGCTCATAAACTGCCCTTCATGCATTATAATATTGCTTGTGGATGAAAACGAGGAAGCCAGTGCTATGCTATTTGGTCAGTATCATGTTTGATCTTTGTATTCTTTCACTTGCATGATCAGAGCAACATGTTAAACTGTACAGCAATGGAAACATTTAATTCAATGTGCACCCACCCCGAAACCTTAAAGTAAATCTCTAATACTGTATGTGTGCTGCATGTAAAGTCACCAATGCAAAGTGATCCAGTTATACAACAGACTTGTATTCAAAATGAATGTCTGTCTGTCCCCCATTGCAGCTCGTAATGAAAACACACCAGATGAAGTGATACAGGAATTTAAGTCAAAAATGGAGTGCGTTTATATGGAAGACTTCTTAAAGGCACCTCTGAAAAATGGTTTGTGTCTGACGCATTTGAATCTTGATTGTGTAACTTAAGTAAAACAAAGACAGGCAAATATGACGTGTGACTGTAATTCCACAGTTTATGTAAAACCTATTTATCATATCTGTATGATTTATTTTAGGTTATTGTAAACTTGATGAGACTGCTTAAAACAGAGGTGGTAAGTGCAAACACTGTTTCAAAACTGTTTAAACTGAAAATGACATTTTTTATAGTTTATAGTGCATAATTTCTCACTCTTAAAGGTCATGGGCAGATGCAGCGATCTTCACACTGCAGATCTACAATCAATTACTGAATTGATGGAAATTAGGTTTCACTGTTTCGGGTTTAGTGACTAACTGACTGATTAAATGAAATCAATACTTCAATAAAACAATTTGTTTTGTGAGTTTGTGAATAACAAAACTTTGATTATTGGTATTAATATCATTATCATGTACCTGAGAAGGTGAATACAGATATCTCACAGCTACATGTCCAGATGCACTAAATCCATATTAAACACACAAATCCCAGAAAAGAATATAATTAAATATATTAAATGTTAGATAACAGATTAAAAAAAAAAACCCAGGATAATTTGTTACAGGGTTTTTCCTCCTCTCACATTTTAAATATCTGAGTAATTTTTCCCAAAGCCCTGTTTAATTTCTCTTCCTGCTACCATAACATGAGACTATTTTTATCAAATTCATTGTGTTAACAAATAGACCAAATTGAATAATATCTGGAGCAAATTTGTCAAAATGTGTAAATTCAGTCCATCAATCAATGCAGGCCCATTATATTACATATTAATTACATTAGCAACAACAATCAACTGCAGTGATTCTGATCCAGTATGAATTTTAAAAACAACAATATTAAAGAGTATCCTGGCTAAAGGAGAATGTGTTTGATTAAAGCAATAAACAAAAACTATTATATGTAATACTTTATTGATGAAAATTGACAATTTATCCTTCTTTTTTTTCCAAAATACACTTTAAAACTATTAACCTTAAACACATTTGTTTTAAAGCCTATCACTCCTTTAATACTTTCTAACATGGCAAATTATGTTTGTGCAAATTACATAAGATTATAATCTATAAAATAAGATTATATTTTACATGAACCACATACACTTCACATTTTACTTTCAACATGCAGTGGAATAATACATAATAACTAAAGTTTTTACTATTTACAGTAATCTTTATCTCTTCGATTGTTAAATGCAGTTACAGGTTCACTGCAGTCATCAGTTCAAAGGCAGGGAAATAATTTTATATAATTTGCCTCACTGAATTCTGTAACAGATTACTGATCAGTGAACACATTACGAGGCTTGTTTAGTACAGGAGAATGTGGAGAATGTGCTTTTTGCACTTCCATCTTAATTTTACTACATGCTTTGGCATGAAATTACATCCAATCATAATGTCAATGGTTTAAAGCAGCCATATTGGAAAAATCCTGCCTTTTAACTCTGTACCCAGTGGTTTATTAATTCTATAATTTGAAAAATATGAATAAATAAAAACACATTTCTTTCTTTTCTGTATTTTTTTCAACATTTTTTATCCCATTTCCGAAGGGATACAATGGACTAATTGATTATATCCCTCATCTAACTGATTGTTGTATTAACAATAATAATTATTATAAATATAGCTGCAAGCAGCATTTACGGACCAAAAACCTTATTTTAATGATTTGTAAATCTGATTGGACATAGCATTGCTGGTAAGGATTTAAGGACAAGCACTTTGAAGTCCATAAATAGAATTACTTATAACTTTTGCCCAATAAGTGGCGTCTTCAGCCCTTTAATATTACATGGCCATGTATGGTTTTGCCAGAAACAGCTTAAATCCATTCAGCATCCTCACCTTTAAACTTTCTGTGCTTGACCCCTAATAATGATACATATTCTACAGAACATTTTACAGTAAATATTGACTATTTTATAGATATATATTAATTCTTGATTCATTGCTCACGGGTGCTACAAAAGCATTTACAGTAAACACCAAAGACAGTACAGTTCATATAAACACATTAGATATCTATTGGCTAAGATAAATGCATTTTAATAATTCACTTATTCACCTTGGCTTGGTCTCAAACATGTTTGCGTTCAGATTTCTAGTTTTAAACCTCTAAAATTGAGAGTCGACTACTTTAAACACTTAATTTTATCCTTGCTTTGCTTTTGTTTCCTCATGAATCTCTTTGTTCTCTTCAAAACAGAGCTGCCTTTAAAAAACTCCACTGTCTACAAACTTTGAATCTTTGTGTAAAAAAAAAAAAAAGTTTTCATCATCCTAATAAAAACATCAGAAGCTAGCCATTCCCTTCAGAGGATATAAGTTCATGCATTTTGGTCATGTTGTATAGACACTGCTTTTTACTCACAGTTAAGCTTAACTTTCTGTGAGAGCAGCTGCCTTGTACGAATGCGACAAAATTATATACTTATTATACAGTAAATCGAGAACATGTTCTTCTTTGGCAGCACTAATTCCCTGCAAACAATGTTCAAAAACAACAGCTTTAAATCCTATTGTAAGTGCAAGGTTTTTATAAAAAATCTAATTATTGCGCTCCTATTAGCAGCACTCTGTGCTTAAAATTTCAGCCCTCTTAAATCACACAGCATGGATGTGTGACTTTTACCCAGGCAAATGGCAATAACACTCCTCCTGTTTCGTATAACAAAGGCACTTGACAAATATGAGGCATCTGTGCAAAGTTAAGCTGGCATTTCCTTTGCTACAACTTATCAAAAGTTAAAGATTTCCTGCAAAGCCATTATATTAAACTATGTTTTGCAGTAAGTTTTATTTTTTATAATCTGATAATCTGACTAAACAAGCTGGGCAATAACACATAATGCCCTGGTCACCATGTTGAAGAGTCTAACCAAGCCAAGCTGATGCATTTCGCTATGCTGTGTCATGCAGGGCATCTCCACTGACTCATAATGCAATCCAGTCTTTCCTTTAGGAACATTGATCAAATTCTTAAACATTTACTGAATGGTCATTCTGCATTGATATGTCCATCTATTTTAAAAATGCATGCTTATCTTAGCACGTAAAATTTCCTGTGACAGTCATCTGCCATCACTTGTTCCGTCACTCTTACTCTTCAGTAGTTATTATATTCAGAACTCTTTAGCTGATCAGTGAAAACACCACTACAAAAACTGATCTACAACTAATATTTAACTCTGATGCAGGATGTGTGTCCACAAACTCACTTCCTCTGGACAGACTTCACACAGATGTGTGTAAGTGTGTGTGTGTGTGATTCCTCCTCACTCGTTTCTGGAGGTGATGTCCTGATGAAGAGACACAATATGGATGTTAAATTCATTATTTGGTCCCATTTTTTGTCTCTGCGTAGAGAAACTTCATAAAGTCAGGAGTTTATTATTAATTTGTACCCAGATTCTCACCTCAGTTTTTGCTCTCCTCCAGCGCACTGCGGTTCCAGGTTTAGACATACCTAAAGGAGAGAATGATTTTACAATATTTTACCCATAAAATAGTAGAGAAGTTAGGTTTATAATATAACTGTTGACTGCTCACCCTAAATCTAAATGGTTTAAGGGGGTGTATTCCTATTATGTTATTGAACAAACTTGATACACAACAGTAACAAATCTTGATACTGATAAAGAAATCAACATGAAAACACACACACACACACACACACACATATATATATATATATATATATATATATATACATTACTTGTCTTATTGTGAACAATTCATTGGAGCAATTTATTTAACAAATAAAATAAATCTTTATAACTTTAAAATATATAATAACTTTTCAGTATCTTTCCCATAAACACCTGTTTTTTTTTGTGTAACTCACTTTTACCAATCAAATGAGGATGAACAGAATTTACAAAAAGTCCCATGCTACATGTTTTTTTTTTTTTTTTTTTGTCATTGATGTATATTTTTCATTAAGAATATGTCAGATTATGTAAGCATAATAGTGACTAAGCTTGCTATTTTACTTGATTTGTTTACTCACATATAGATGAAAGCAGAACCATGAATGCCACTGCTGCAGAAACACCTCCCAGCAGCCACCTGTGAGGATTATGATGTCATTAATCTATTACAAGTAAAGCTCGGCACAATTCCACAACAAATGAGCCACACAGACAGAAATCTCACTGGCTGTGTCCAAAATCACATACTCTCTGAGTAGGTACTTCTTTTGGATAAGTAATTACTTTGCAAGAAAAAAAAGCAGAATTATAATATATAAACAGAAAAACTACAAGGTCACAATTATGTGATAAATTAAATTATGAGATTTTTATTTATTTTTTTATTGCGTGGTGGAAACAGGCTTCCTTATATTTTTGGATATTTTTCGGAATACAGCTTCTCTCTCTCTCTCTCTCTCTCTCTCTCTCACACACACACACACACACACACACACATTTTCATTACCCAGAGGAGATGGCAATGCAGAGGCACAAAGTAAGGATGAGGAGAAGGACTTTCATGAGTACAGTTTCTGAAACAAACAATCAAAATAGTTTTCAGCCGTTTCTATTTTTCCATATTCATCAAAAACTAGGCAAGGACTGAAGCTGGAGCTCTTTCATTGAACCTTTCTCACCTGATGTCTTGCTGGATGAGCTGTAACTATTGAGTTGACACATGGATGGGGGAGGAACATCTAGGAGGCCACTCACTGGTTGGCTGAATTGTTCATGGGCGGAGCATGACTCACATGGAGGCTCCTCCTCTTCTAACTGAGTCTGAGGAGGCACTTTATCAGGGGAGGAAATAGGACCTGTGGGATCTATAAAGAAACACACATCTTCACAAAAACTGAACAGGCAAATATTTTAAACTAGCTGTGTCAATGCCAAAACTAGAAGCCTTCTAACCATAGGTGAAGCTGATGGGTGTGTTTGTCTCATAGCTGTTTTCCAGCTCCTCCCATGATGATGATTGGAATGGGGTGATGGGGACAGATCTTCCAAATACATTTCCTTCCAGCCAGGATTGGCACGATTGGCTCACATCACTAAGAAGACTGGCCAGTGATTTTTTTGCCCGGCGCTTTCGTCTGAATATGCTAATAGGCATACACACACAAAAAGGGTTTATTATTCTGTCAGATTTAAAGTTGCTTTTTAATCCTGGGAGACACAGGCATTGATATTCATGACATTAGGGCACCATATATATCTCTTTAGGAAGCCATTAGTTATAAAAAATATTTTGTATAGGCCAAAGTTGCATCAAGGTATAATTTGGAAAAACGTGGCAAAATTGCAACTCTGGGCATTTAGGGTTGTAAATATTAATAATTTTTGTACCATTCACTGAATAAACTCCACTGTGTTACAACAACAGAAAAAAGTTTGACCCATAATGCCCAGAGTTGTATTTTTGCTAGGCTTAGAAAATGGTTTCAAATATATGTACATTCAAAATTTCAGTGCATATAAGACTTTATCACAAGGCATACAGAAGAAGAAAAAAAAAAACAAAAAATAAATGGTTAAGAATTAAATATGCAATATAGATTATATGGAAATGGAATTAGAGGCATTCTTTTGTGCAATGCAAAGAAATGAGGCCAAATGAGAGGAAAGGTTATTATTTATACTACTTATATATTTTTTATAACTGTCTCCTTAAGTATTTTTTTCTTGTTAATAGTTGTGTAAAATAGATCAAATGTTCAAAAATAAATGTATTTCATGAAATAAAATGAATCATTGAATTAAAAATGGGGAGGGGTGTCTGTCAGGACGTAAAGGGAGTGGGATGGGGAGGGGGATCAGGGAGCCATTATGATCGAAATGGGGATGATGCTGGCAAAGTAGGTGGAGACCAGTTACTGTACTTCCTGTTAACCACTTCCTGGCTGGAAATAAACTGATTGGCTGAACAGAGTGTTGTGCATGTGTGCACGGCAGCTGCTATCAGAGAAGCAGTGGAGACTAACGGCAAAGAAAGAGGGAGGACAATAACACATGCTCTCTCTTGCTCTCTCTCGCACACACACAAAGCAGCTCATTTGTTTTTCTTAAAAATCTGTTCCCAGAGTGATCACATGACACACTTCTGCAACTTATGTTTGTGTTTGAACAGAAAGTCAGTCCCCAAAACCTTCACACTAATTTCCTGTAGTCTCTGTGAGCTAGAAACACGAATTGACATTTTTAGCATAGCTGAAAGTTGCAAATACATAAAAACAAGGACAACATAGCATGATGAGATGTTGATATTGCAGCAGAGTGTAAGTGAAATGAGTAGCTGCAATATCAAAGCTCATTACAGAAATGCAGGCCAACCACAAAACCACACATGCATAGCCACACACAAACAGAGCTCAGAATATAAATAAACTATTTATTTCTGGCAATTGTTATTTCATAATTTATCCATTTCTATTACTTTATTTCTTGTGTCCTCACTTATTTAATAAGAAATTGTGATTGTGATTTAACATATATGGCTGAAGAGAAAAAATATATATTTAGCAGCATATTGTACAAATTTGCAAACACTGAATTTGTCAATTCTGTTAATAACAGTTGATGATGTAATTGCGGTTTCAAATTCTTTTAGTGGTTTTATGTTTTCTAAGATGTATCTGTTTATTTATTTATTTTAAATCTTAACGTACTTTGGTCTACTTTGTAGTTTTTATTAATAAATAAAATGGTCTAGCCTACCTTACAGTCTATGGTCTACCTTTCATAAATAATTTTACTTAATAATAGTAATAATAATGTTCAAAAATAAATGTATTTCATGAAATAAAATGAATCATTGAATTAAAAATGGGGAGGGGTGTCTGTCAGGACGTAAAGGGAGTGGGATGGGGAGGGGGATCAGGGAGCCATTATGATCGAAATGGGGATGATGCTGGCAAAGTAGGTGGAGACCAGTTACTGTACTTCCTGTTAACCACTTCCTGGCTGGAAATAAACTGATTGGCTGAACAGAGTGTTGTGCATGTGTGCACGGCAGCTGCTATCAGAGAAGCAGTGGAGACTAACGGCAAAGAAAGAGGGAGGACAATAACACATGCTCTCTCTTGCTCTCTCTCTCTCTCTCTCGCACACACACAAAGCAGCTCATTTGTTTTTCTTAAAAATCTGTTCCCAGAGTGATCACATGACACACTTCTGCAACTTATGTTTGTGTTTGAACAGAAAGTCAGTCCCCAAAACCTTCACACTCATTTCCTGTAGTCTCTGTGAGCTAGAAACACGAATTGACATTTTTAGCATAGCTGAAAGTTGCAAATACATAAAAACAAGGACAACATAGCATGATGAGATGTTGATATTGCAGCAGCGTGTAAGTGAAATGAGTAGCTGCAATATCAAAGCTCATTACAGAAATGCAGGCCAACCACAAAACCACACATGCATAGCCACACACAAACAGAGCTCAGAATATAAATAAACTATTTATTTCTGGCAATTGTTATTTCATAATTTATCCATTTCTATTACTTTATTTCTTGTGTCCTCACTTATTTAATAAGAAATTGTGATTGTGATTTAACATATATGGCTGAAGAGAAAAAAAAATATTTAGCAGCATATTGTACAAATTTGCAAACACTGAATTTGTCAATTCTGTTAATAACAATTGATGATGTAATTGCGGTTTCAAATTCTTTTAGCGGTTTTATGTTTTCTAAGATGTATCTGTTTATTTATTTATTTTAAATCTTAACGTACTTTGGTCTACTTTGTAGTTTTTATTAATAAATAAAATGGTCTAGCCTACCTTACAGTCTATGGTCTACCTTTCATAAATAATTTGACTTAATAATAGTAATAATAACAATAATAGAATATTTTAAAGGAGATATCAGAATAATTTATCTTATTTTACTCAGAATAAATACTGGTCTGGTGTGATATTTATGCGAAATCTGACGTCCACATTATTTTCATGCTGCGTTCAGACGCGACGCTCCTCGAGTCTTTTGTTGCGCGGCCTGAAGCAGATACGTGATGCGCGAGAAACATTCACTCATATATAAAGCTGGGAGTTTGTACTATGATAATCGTACAATTTAATAAATCTAAAATCTCACAGTGTATAAAGATCATATCGGCTATAAAGTGATTATGCCGAAGCTTAATGCTATACTAACATCCGGTTTCTTCTTCTCCACATTCTTTAACACTGAATGTGGTTTCTACTGTACAGAACATATGAAACTAAGATTCAGAAACAAGAGAAAAACATCTTACCTAAACCGCGGAGAATGCGGATAGCGGTATAGATCAAGTCTGTCCGCTTACCTACACACTGACATGCATGAAGAACCACGCCTACTGTGTGAGAGAGAGAGAGAGAGAGAGAGACATTCAGCCATTTCCAGGCCCAGGGAAATGTACTGCTTATGGGTGACTTATAGAACCCGTGACAAATTAGATTTCATAGAAACACAAGGCAGCAGATTCATTACTGGCAATAATAGCAGATTTTTTCCTTCTCACCCTCCCAGACAGAACTGTGATCAAACAGTGAACTCTCACGGAAGGCAGCTGCTGCAGCTCTGTCAGAATCTGTCACTGTACATCGTCAATGGAAGACTGCGAGGAGACTCACTCGGTCGCTTCACCTACAGCTCAGCTCTTGGTAGCAGCACTGTAGATTACACAATCACAGATCTCCATCTTTCCTCTTTGAGAGCATTCACAGTCAAACCCTTGAAACCTTTCTCAGACCATAGTCAAATCACCCTCTATTTAAAGCAATCTGAAACATTACCCAAACCAATTAGGACACCATATCAAATGCACAAAATTATGTCTTTCAAATGGGCAGAAAATACAACAAAAGTACAAAAGTACAACTAATGCTACTGAATCGTCAGAAATACAGTCCCTCTTACATTCTTTCCAAATACAGGAATACCCTAAAAATCAATTCGGCATCAATCAAGCAGTGAAAGATATAAATTACATATTCTATAAGACAGCACAAAGAAGTGATATGACCATTATAAAACCAAAGAAAAAGAAATTGGACACGGACAGATGGCTTGATTCAGACTGTAAGGCTGAAAACAAAAAAACAAGCTCAGCCCGGAAAAAAAGCTCAGTTTCTGCAAGACCAGTTTGAAGAGATCGGAAAATCAATACATTCAAACAAATTCTGGGATAAATGGACATTATTAAACAAATCAAATCAAGAAAGTGAAAAAGTGACGTGACATGTGGCCAAGTATGGTGAGCCATACTTGGAATTAGTGCTCTGTATTTTAATCCATCCAAAGTGCACGCACACAGCAGTTGACACACACACCGTGAACACACACCCGGAGCAGTGGGCAGGCATTTTTGCTGCAGCGCCCGGGGAGCAGTTGGGGGTTCGGTGCCTTGCTCAAGGGCACCTCAGTCGTGGTATTGAAGGTGGGAGTGACTGCTGCACATTCACTCCCCCCACCCACAATCCCTGCCGGTATGAGACTCGAACCCGCAACCTTTTGGGTTACGAGTCCGATTCTCTGGCCATTAGGCCACGACTTCCCCCCAAGGAAGATCTGGCTATCCAAGATGGCGAGATATGGAAGAATCATTTCAAAGAATTATATAGCTCAACTGAAATTCAAAACTCTGATCAAAATGACATAATTAAAAACTAGACATTTTTGAAAAATCAATAAAAGCAAATCAAAACCCCTTAGATTTCCCCATAACACTGAAAGAGTTAGAAGATAAATTACGGGTCCTTGAGCCCAAGAAAGCCTGCGGTGTTGACGGCATCCTGAACGAGATGCTGATACACACAGAGCAAAGCTTCAAACTGGCCATCCTGAAACTCTTCAATGATGTTCTGTGTGTAGGGTTCTTCCCTGAGATCTGGAACCAGGGCCTCATCAGCCCCAGCTACAAGAACGGAGACAAACTGGACCCCAACAACTACCGAGGCATCTGTGTGAGCAGTAACCTGGGGAAGGTTTTCTGTAGCATCTTAAACACAAGACTGTCAGACTTCCTTATCAAACACAATGCCTTGAGTAAATGTCAAACTGTTTTCCTCCCAAAATGCCGCACATCTGATCACATTTTTACACTACAAACACTAATTGATAAATATGTACATCAAAACAAAAGAAAAATTTTCGCCTGTTTTATTGATTTCAAGAAAGCATTCGACTCAATCTGGCATGAAGGATTATTCCTAAAACTTATCGACAGCGGAATAGGAAGTCAATTCTATGACCTGATCAAATCCATGTACACAATCAGCCAATGTGCAGTTAAAATTGGAAACAAAAGAACTGAATTTTTTCTTCAGAGGCGTGGAGTGAGACAGGGCTGCAGTTTAAACACCCCCTCTTCAACATTTACATTAACCAATTGGCCAATGTTTTAGAACATGCTCCCATTCAAGGTCTCACTCTCCATGACACAGAAATAAAGTGTCTTCTTTACGCAGACGACCTGCTTCTTCTGTCGCCCACTAAAGAAGG